GCCTGCCCCTGTCTGGTCCGGGACTTCCGTTGTGGGAGGGGTCTGGTCTCCGACTGGGCTCCCTCCCCGCGGGTTGTCTGCGGGCTACCTGGTTGATCCTGCCAGTAGTCATATGCTTGTCTCAAAGATTAAGCCATGCATGTCTAAGTATAAGCGACTATACTGTGAAACTGCGAATGGCTCATTAAATCAGTTATGGTTTATTTGATGGTACCTTGCTACTTGGATAACCGTAGTAATTCTAGAGCTAATACATGCAGGAGTTCCCGACTCACGGAGGGATGTATTTATTAGATAAGAAACCAAACCGGTCTCCGGTTGCGTGCTGAGTCATAATAACTGCTCGAATCGCACGGCTCTACGCCGGCGATGGTTCATTCAAATTTCTGCCCTATCAGCTTTCGATGGTAGGATAGAGGCCTACCATGGCGTTAACGGGTAACGGAGAATTAGGGTTCGATTCCGGAGAGGGAGCCTGAGAAATGGCTACCACATCCAAGGAAGGCAGCAGGCGCGTAAATTGCCCGAATCCTGACACAGGGAGGTAGTGACAAGAAATAACAATACAGGGCTATTTTAGTCTTGTAATTGGAATGAGTACAATTTACATCTCTTCACGAGGATCAATTGGAGGGCAAGTCTGGTGCCAGCAGCCGCGGTAATTCCAGCTCCAATAGCGTATATTAAAGTTGTTGCAGTTAAAACGCTCGTAGTCGGATTTCGGGGCGGGCCGACCGGTCTGCCGATGGGTATGCACTGGCCGGCGCGTCCTTCCACCCGGAGACCGCGCCTACTCTTAACTGAGCGGGCGCGGGAGACGGGTCTTTTACTTTGAAAAAATCAGAGTGTTTCAAGCAGGCAGTCGCTCTTGCATGGATTAGCATGGGATAATGAAATAGGACTCTGGTGCTATTTTGTTGGTTTCGAACACCGGAGTAATGATTAACAGGGACAGTCAGGGGCACTCGTATTCCGCCGAGAGAGGTGAAATTCTCAGACCAGCGGAAGACGAACCACTGCGAAAGCATTTGCCAGGGATGTTTTCACTGATCAAGAACGAAAGTTAGGGGATCGAAGACGATCAGATACCGTCGTAGTCTTAACCATAAACCATGCCGACTAGGGATTGGAGGATGTTCCATTTGTGACTCCTTCAGCACCTTTCGGGAAACTAAAGTCTTTGGGTTCCGGGGGGAGTATGGTCGCAAGGCTGAAACTTAAAGGAATTGACGGAAGGGCACCACCAGGAGTGGAGCCTGCGGCTTAA